CCATTTTTCAATTTCCTACAATTTCTAATTTAGATGAAATTGTTTCTCTCAAAGTAAGAGGAGTATTTGGACTGAAAAAAAAAGATGACCCTAGCATCTAAAAAGCAAGAGTATTTGCTTCTCTCAAAGTTCGCTTATGGTGTACATTACTACTTTAAGAGGACCTGAGGGTGGAGAGGATCTCAACTTGTTGGGAGTTGAGATTCTCTCATTGGGCTTTCTCATTGTCTTTCTATTTGTAATGGTGGAGATGCACTTTGAGTTGATCAAACGATTCAGATTTGGGCGGGAAAAACAAATTTAAATTTGTTTGATTATTTTTTTATTTTTAAATAGTCAAATCTGAATCGTTAGATCAACTCAAAGTGCATCTCCACCGTTGCAAATAGAAAGGTAAGGAGAGAGCCCAATGAGAGGATCTCAACTTGTTGGACATGACCGTAGCATCATAAGAGCCTAGCTTAACTTCAAGAAGATGTAAGGGTAGAGCTGCAAATGAACAAAACCGTTCGTAAACAGGCTTGAGTTCGGGTCGGTAAAAGCTCGTTCGAACTCAGTTCATTAATTTTGTTTATTTATTTTATTTTTTTGCGTTCAAGTTCAAACTCGTTGAAATTTATTCGGCTCATAAGTTTGGTTCGCTAACTGACTCGTTTAATATTTAGTATTCATTTATTAAATAACATAAAAATATGAATAAAAAATAAGATAAATATGTTATTTATATATTTAAAAAATATAAATGTAAATAATAGCTAACTATAGATAATACATTCATATAATAGTGGTGGTAAATATTATTATTTTGGTAAAATATTGACTTTTTCTTCTAGTATGTTTATATATATATATATATATATATTTTTCCCATTTCCCAACAAAGAAAAAATTTCATTAAAAATATGAAATTAAAAGTACAGAAAGATGAAATACATCAAGAGAGGTTTAGACAGTACAAAATATACTTACTATTGCTACTCGCACTCATACAACCAACCCCTCGGCCTCACGAATTTTTTACTAGAAAATCCCCCAAAACAAAAACAAATAGTTAAAAAGCACTTAACTCAAAAATCAAAAAAACAAGAACCCCAAAGTCCAACCACACTATAGAAAAGAAAAACCCAAAAGCAGCACTCTTGATTATTTTATATTAATCACAGCATTAACGCCCACTAATCCAAAACATCAAAATCAAGACGCATACCTAAAGAACTCCTCGCTGTTCCACTCCTGACCCTTCCGCTGGCCTTCTCCTACGCCTGACATCTCCATCGGGCTTCACCCACTCTATGGCCGGAACACTGAAACATCCACGGCCGGAACTCCCACGCCGGAACACTGTTCCCTTTGTAGTACATTACCCACGCTTGACACTTCCGTCGAAACTTCACCCACGCTTAACATTTCCGTCGGACTTCACCCACTCCACGGCCGAAGCTTGCTTCCAATATCGAGACACCCACGGTGAAAACACCTTTTGGCCGAACACTCACACCCACTTCCATGGTCGATCTAACAAACACTACAAGGTCGAAAATACCTCCTCTACAAGCCGAAACACCATCTCCCATGGAGACAAAGCTTCTAAGAACCACCAACACCAATACCTCTCATGGCCATAGAAAAATTCATGGCTAAAAGACCCAAGATCCACCCCAAGAACAACTCCCTCTAGAATGAAGTTGCCAAACACCATAACTACATTAGAGTGCCTGAGCCGAACAACCTCCTCTGAGTCCAACGAAACATCGACCTCCATAGATCTGAATAGAGTTCACCCCTCAAACTCCCACTCTCAAAGGAGCGCCCGAATGAAGCTCCTAAACAAATCTGGATCATTCCTTTTTTCGGCCCAACGCCAACCTCTACAGATTTGAATGGAATCCACCCCTCAAACTCCCACTCGCATAGGATCGCCCGAATAACGTTTCTAAACAAATCCAACCCTCCCATATTCAAGGCGCCTTCCATGGTTGAAACCCCCCAAGACTAAAACCCACTCCTTAAACAACCAAGAGAACTGAAAAAGATTTGGAAAAACTATGGGGATTCTTTATCTACAAGCTCCTTTTACCTTTTACCCCTTTTTATTTTATTTTATTTATAACAAGGTTTGTTTTTTTTGAACAGATTATTTATAACAAGGTTGATAACATAAATTTATCATGATTATAACTACGATTACATGGTCAAGCAATACCCAAATGAAATTGAATAATTTGGGGCTTTAGCTGACAATATTCCATTAGCATAAAGTATCAATCTTGATTGGACCATCTAATTTGTGGCAATCTCAATGAGTCCGGATCAAGGTTCTAAATATCGGCCGGTACGTTCCGTACCGACCGATTCGTAACGGAAAATGGGAGTGCCGAGTCGGATAGTCACCGGTATACCGGTGAGAATGAATTTCGCGTCCGTAGCGGCCGATTCCCGACACGTATCGGCTTGAATCCGATACGTGAGCGATATAGTGTCCGATTCGTTTCATGCTCTGTTTTTTGTTGAAGGTTTTTCTCTCTGTTGGTATTTGTTTCATGCTCTGGTTTTTTCTTTCTTCTTTATTCTTTTGTATTCGTTTATAATATGCTCCGAAGAAACGAATCGTGATAACAGGAATGAGAGAAAAATACAAACAGAGCATGATTCATCCCTAACAACATCAGCTCCGAAAACATATTCGGTTTGTTTATAATATGTTTTTTTTTTCTTCTTTCTTCTTTTTTTCTTTTTTCTGTAGTTATTTTTTTATTTATATTATGGTATGGAATGGTTTTGTTTGGTAAGTTGTGTTTGGTTTGTTTATAATTTGTTTTTTTTTTCTTTTTTCTGTGGTTATTTTTTAATTTATATTATGGTATGGGATGGGAATGAGATATATTTTAATATATATTTATAATTCTTCAAATATTTATATATATATATATATATTAGGAGCATTTATATATATTGAAGCAAAGCTCTACACCTGTCCCACTTTGTTTTTCTATTTCAGTCTCCCATGTGGTGATTAGTTTCTTTGCAGAGTCCAACATTATGTGCACCAAATTCTGAATCATATTTTTCCGATCTAATCATTTAGCTAACATTATGATGAGAGGTGGAGGTTAGTATTGTATTAGTACCTAAAAAATAACATATTTGTGAAAAATTAGTAATTTTTTTATAAAAAGATATTCACAAATATTTTACTTTTTAAGTGTATCTGGATAGTGCCTCTAGATAGTATTATTATTGTGTTGAATATTTTTTTTTTATTTGATGGGATCCTTGATTTTTTTAAATAACCAAACTATATATAATAAAATATTAATAATACAAATCAAAAAAATTTAAGAGCTTTTGTTTGCTTGATGGGGGATGAGACTAAAGTCACCCTGATTATTGATTGAAAGTGCATTAAAATAGATAAAAAAAAATTTGTTGATTTGTAATAGATTGTTTGTATGCGATTATGATTGAAGCGAATGATTTATTTTCATGTCCCTCTTTCTCTTATTAATTTGTTGTGCATGTGAAAGTATTTCATTATTGAAAAAAAGTAAAAAAATATTTCCACATCAATTTTATATTAAAATTTAACATATATGCCAAATAAAAGCTTGAGATTAAAATAAATACTCCCTCCGTCCCAAAATAATGGTCCCTTTTGGGGAATTCAACTTTTTTTGGTAGTACAATTATTGTACTTTTAAAAAGTTGGTTTTCCAAAATTACCCTTTGATAGTACACTTTTTTGAGAATATCAATGTCACAATTGTACTTTTTATATTATTTATGAATTTAAAAGAAGGGCAAAATGGGAAATTTATATTATTTTTGTACTTGATTTTTGAAGAGGGACTAATATTTTGGGACAATGAAAAATGGAATAAGGGACTAATATTATGGGACGGAGGGAGTACATATTATTTAGTTGAAAATGGGTCAAGAGTGCCTCTACATATCAAAATTTTGATTAAAATATGATAAATTAAGGCTAAAAGAGTCAAAAAATACATAAAATTGAGTTTTAAAGGGATTGCTAAAGATTTTTGAAATTTCACAGCCGCGACGCCCGATACCCGATACCGATACTCCCGATACCGATACTCCGTGATCGATACCGTTACGTTACCCGATACCGCGATTTAGAACTATGGTCCGGATCCTCTAAAGTGAAACAGTGAAGAATTAAAATCTGGACTTTGGACGATCTAATTTAAACATTTCCAATCAAAATTAAATGAGAATTTTATTAAGAAGAATTATTATGTTTAGGATTCAAAGATCTTGAGCTGGTTACACAAAGTGGCTTTTTTTCATCACATCATATTACTCATTGATTGATAACTTGTAAGACAGTGAATCTTATCTTAATTACAAGGAGAGGATTTAGTAAAAAATCTACTTTTTGTGTAGTTTTCTGTTAGACTTGAAAACAAAACAAAAGAAAACACATAAAAGGGACACGTCAACAAATCTTTATTTAAAATTCAAAAGGAGGTAAAGAGAAATTTGAAATTTAAAATGATGCAATAGTTATAAATTGTTGACTTTAGATTTTGATGTTTTGTTTCAATCTTATAAAATGAAATGGAGATCTCAATGTCATTTATGGAATGGGGATGATTTCAAAATGCACACATCTAACCCCTTGGAGTGATTGTATTCTTAAAAAACCATACATGCCAAAATGGCAAGATTTTTATAGTTAACTCTTATTTTTATTTTGTTTGAGAATTTATCAATTTGTGATAAAATGAAACTACACCTAAAGTCAAGTCCTTTCTATATTCCTTGCAAGAGTTAGTTATGTTGCATCCTGACACTTAATTACCTCATCTACCTGTGGGAGCGAGTCCCGGGGCCTAAATTGGTTAAAAATAACGTAAGCCTTTTGTCTCCCCACTTGATTTGCCTACTTTTATGCTTCTTGTGCCATTTCCCTCATGCCATATAAAACACAAAGCATCCAATAACTCAAAAATCATTCTCTCAAAGGTAAAAAGAGAGATATGGAAGATGATAGGAATAAAAATGGACCACATGTGGGCAATACAGGTAGCCCTGAAAGCTCATGTTCAAAGAGTAGCAACAACAAAAATCATAACCACAACAACAACATCAACATCAACAACAACAATAAAGAACAAGACCGGTTCCTTCCAATAGCCAACGTGGGACGGATCATGAAAAAGGTGATTCCAGGCAATGGGAAAATCTCTAAAGACGCAAAAGAGACAGTTCAAGAATGTGTGTCAGAGTTCATTAGCTTTGTTACGGGGGAAGCATCCGATAAATGCCAACGTGAGAAGAGGAAGACCATTAATGGAGAAGATATCATATGGGCTATCACAACCCTAGGGTTTGAGGATTATGTCAACCCACTTAAACAATATCTCGCAAAATATAGAGAGTTAGAAGGAGAGAAACTTCATCTTCCTAAGCAACAGCAGCAACAACAACAACGATCTGAACAAGGATTACAACATCATGAGCATGAACAAAATATGCCTTACACTAGTGTATATTCTTCGACTAGTCTCATCTCTCAACCATCTTTTGTGGCAACAGATCAACCATTTTTGCAGCCTTACCATCCAACTTCAATTCAAAAACAATTACATCAACAAGAACATATTGATTCTGTCGGGCGTTGGTAAAAAGAAGTACAATGGGTTCTATATCATCTTATATTTTAGGGTAATAAGATACATATGTGAGTAATTTTTATGTAATGTTGTAGGTACTAGAAGAAATTTTGTCAATGCCCTTTGGCGCCTTAGACACGATAAATACAGATTGAATTACAAAATGTAAATTCAAAATGATATGTCTAAATAACTATTGATGTTTCATTCACATTACAAAAAGCTAAAAGTTCTCATGCACACATTGAAGGTTTTGTATTGCCTCATTCTCTCCGAGCTTCTCTATCAAAAGGTTTAGATACAAAAAATATGTGATATGGCTTTTAGATTGAAAGTGTTTATGTCTATTATTTGAAGACTATAATCCCAAACAAATAAAAAAAAAAAAAAAATTAAAGAGTTTTGAAGGCTTCATTTTGTACTTCTAACAATATTTATGGATTATCAATATGGGATCTCCAAAATTATCTAAACTTAGACCCCAAACTCTTGATTTTGTTTGAACTTTAAAATTCAAACTTGTGCAGCCCATTGTGAACTTTTCTTTTTCTTTATTTCTTTTTACTTCTTAAAGGTTATTAACAAAAAGCTAGTATAATGCCACTGGTTCAGTAGAGACTAGAGAGTAACAACTCCTATGGGATAAATCCTAGTTTTGATCTTGGGGTGCCTCTTGAGAAAGTGTTGGTACCAAAATTAAAAAATAAATATTAAGCGAAATCACAACGGCAAGAAGGCCCTAATTTTATGTGGTGGGCCAAATCAGCTTATGGTCACGGGAGGTACTAATCTTTTATTGCGTTTACACATCTTCTACTATCACCAAAACTAATAGTAGGCATATAAATATCTCGAAATAAATAATCTAGGCTGAAACACAAAAATATTGATTTTTTTAAACTGTATTTAGATGGTGAATTTGCATGTGAAGGAACACGACCTTAAGGATATTGAAATCCCCATACATAACATAACCGATGGGACATATTCCACGTCTGACTTGTTCTCTCTTTTGAACTTTTAAATCGTATTGGAAGGTGCGGCTGGATCACCTCGTTAAGTGGCTTGGGTGGAAACACAAATCCATTAGTGGGATTTTGAGTTTTTTCATTAGCACATCATTATGTTTCTTTATGGCTATGGCAGTGTCAACTGCATCCTTTTTGCTCCTTTCATTGAGATCAAATTTGTGAGTTCATTTAATATAAAAGAATTGTGTATGATTTTTTATTAAATTCTGTGCACGTAAGTTTTCATTTGATCTTTTGGCGTTCTTCCCATTTCTATCCTCCCTAGGTCCTCCTCACTTTATATACAAAAAAAAAAAAAAAAAAAAAAAAAAAAGAGAAAAAAAAAAAGTAAAAAACCGAAAAAGTCAATTGAAAATTTTAGTTACCAAATTAATTTTTTTCCTAGCTTTGGGCTTTTTATGAGGTGAGTCTTTTGTGTGGGCCTTTTGGACTACATTAATAAAAAGGGAGATTACTTGTAGGTAGGAGAAAGGGAAAACAAATTACTAATGCATGATGATGAAATATTGAATCAATATTAAATCTTCATTCCCTTTCATAATAGAGTACAACATGTATTTATACACAATCACAGTAACAAACTAACTGCCTAACTACTGTCTAACTAATTTGACCAATGCTGTTACAGAGGAACTAATAAAACTAATGCTATTACAGAGGGAGTGACAGTGTATTGAACTTCATGTAACCTTATCTTTATCAGGCTCCCGCAAGCTGAGAGGGAGAAGACCAACGAGAAGCTTGGAAGTCAGAAAAGAAAATTTGGCAGAGGACAAAGGTTTAGTGAAAATGTCAGCAGGTTGGTCTAATGTGGGAACATGCCGGAGAAACAACTTGTGGCGAGCAACCTTCTCACAGATAAAATGGCAATCCACTTCGATGTGCTTAAAGCGGCTATGAAATATGGGATTGGCAGGCAATGATAAGGCAGGCATGTTGTCGCACCAAAGAATAGGAAGAGAAAGTTGTGGAATAAGGAAGTCCTGAAGTAGCATTTGCAACCAAGTGAACTCAGTAACTATGTGAGCCAAAGACCGGTATTTAGCCTCGGTAGAGGACCGAGAGACAGTAGGGGGTTGTTTGGGATGATCTAAATAAGTGCACTTTTTAACTTTTTATGAAATATGGGTTGGGTATGGGTTGGCTTTGAAGTGATGTGATAGAGAAGTGATGTGACTTAAATAAGATAGTCTGACTTAAATAGGATAGTGGTTTTTTGACTTTTTTAGTTTATGCCAAACAAGGCCTAGATTGTTTCATAGAGGACCAGGAAATGAGATTGGTGCCGAGAAAGATACAATAAACAGATGTAGAACGGCAATCAGAGATATCACCAGCCCAATTGGAATCAGAGTAAGAAGTAAGCTGAAAAGAATAGGAACTGAACAACAGATCATGAGAAAGTGAACCATTAACATAACGAAGGATTCTTTTAACAGCTGAAAAATGACCAACAGTTGGAGCATGCATATATTGACATGCTTGATTAATAGCATAAGATAGCTCAAGGCGAGTGATAGTGAGATACTGAAGAACTCCCACAACACTGCGATAGAGAAAAGGTTGGTTGAAAGGTAAAGAGTCATTGGCAGAGAAAGAAGACTTGGTGGAAGAAGGTGTAGCACAAGTTTTGCAATCAACCATCCCAGCTTTATTCAAAATATCAGTGGCATATTTCTGTTGAGACAAAAAGAACCCATGGGAGGATGGTTGGACAACAATGCCTAAGAAATAGGAAAGATCACCTAATTCTTTCATGGAAAAGGTAGCATGCATATGAGATAACAAGGAAGAAATATAAGAAGCATTAGAACCAGTGAGAAGAATATCATCAGCATAGATAAGAAGATAGGTAATGGAAGAAGAGGTTTTATGAATAAAGAGAGAGGAATCATAAAGACTCTGAATGAAACCTTAAAAAACAAGGAAAGAGAGAAAAGTGGAATACCATGTCCGAGGGCTTGTTTTAAACCATAGAGAGCCTTATGGAGTTTGCACACAAGATTAGGGTGTGAAGGATCAACAAAGCTAGGGGGTTGAGTCATGTAAACCTCCTCTTCTAATTTGCCATGTAAAAAAGCATTATAAATGTCTAGCTGCTTGAGAGGCCAATGATGATGAAGAGCCAGACATAAGAATATCCGAATAGTTGGTTGTTTGGCAACAAGACTGAAAGTATCCTGATAATCTATGCCATGCTGTTGTAGAAACCCCTTGGCAACAAGTTTGGCTTTGTGCTTGGCAATAGAGCCATCAGAATTCCTTTTAAGTTTGAAAACCCACTTCAGCCTATAGCTTGTTTAGAAAGAGGAGAGGAACAAGAGTCCATGTTCTTTGATATTGAAAAGCAGCATATTCATCAAGCATATCCTGAAACCAAACTGGGGAAACAAGAGTAGATTTGTAGGAGAGAGGCTTAGAATCAGGTGAAGCAGGAGAAACAGAAAGAGTTGAAGCAAAACAAGAGGGCCTAGAGTTGGATCGAGTTTGCATAGGGTGAGTATTGAGAGTAGAATGAGGGAGAGGTAAAACCACAGAAATAGAATTGATGGGAATGGGTGGATGTGGAGCAGATATAGGCAGAGGAAAGGGAGGAGATGACAATGACAATTGAGGCAGAGAGATAGGAAAAACAAGACATAAGGGAGTTGGCCTGGGAACAGAGAAGCTGGGCTGACTGTTCCGAAAAGATAAGAGCAGCTGGCTATTTTGAAAAAAGGAGGGTAGTTGGGACTGCTGAGGTGGCCTGGGCAGCTGGGACTACTGTTGTATTCTGGGCAGTGCTGACTGTTGTGGCCTAGGGTGAACAAAGGATTGTAGCTGATGTGACTTGTGAACAGAAGACTGCAGCTGATGTGACCTGGGTTGCTATGATTGGAATTGGGACTACTGTTGGGGCCTGGGCAGCTGGGACTGCTGTGGCCTAGTGTGAACAAAGGACTGTTGTGGCCTAAGATGCTGGAGGCTGGACTGGTTGGCAGAGCTAAACTTTGTGGTCTGGTTTGGCAAGGACTGTGAAGAAGGAGACCAAAAAAAGACCTGTAGTTGAGATAAAGAAAATGTGGCAGAACTAAAAGAAGAAGAAGAAAAATGAGAGGCATACTCATGAAAAATAACATGTCTAGATAGATGAATTTTGCATGTGTGAGGGTCTAAACGTCTATAACCTTTGGCATTTGGATGATATCCTAGAAAAACACATGGAGTAGATTTAGGAGCTAACTTATGGGAATTGTAAGGCTTAAACCAAGGAAAACAGAGACAACCAAACACTTTAAGCATATTGTAATAAGGAGAGTGATGATAAAACAATTCAAAAGGAGAGTAGTTATGAAGAGAAACACTAGGCAATCTATTAATCAAGTATGTAGCTATGACAATGGCATCAAACCAATAAGTAAGAGGCAAGCAAGAGTGATGAAAAAAGGAAAAAGTAGTTTCAGTGAGATGCAAATGCTTTCTCTTAGCTACTCTATTTTGAGATGGAGTGTGAGGAAAGAAAATTGATGATGAATCCCATGAGTGTGAAGATAATGCTGGAGGGGATGATTAATGTATTCATCATCTCCATCAGTTCGAAGAATCTTAAGAGGAAACCCAAATTGTTTTTCCACAAAAGCCTTGAATTCCATAAATTTGGCACACACTTCACTTTTATAAGCAAGAGCATAAAGCCATGTAAATTTTGTAAAATCATCAATGAACAAAACATAACATTTGTAAGAAGATGTCGAACAAGTAAAGGGACCCCATACATCACTGTGAATTAAAGCCATGGGATTATTTATAGTAGAATTGAACAGTTTAAATGGAAGCCTATGACATTTAGCAACAGAGCAATGTACACGAGGAAGTGTGCTTTTATTGGAAGCTACAGACAAAGGTAACTTTTGTTTAAGCAAATGAAATTTAAGAGAGGATGGTGGCCTAATCTCTTATGCTATATGTTAGAAGAAGCATGTGATGAGACTGAACAATGAT